TCTGTTATTAACCTCTGTCTCTCTTCCACAGCATGTCTTTTATCCTGTCTTCCTTCTCTCACCCCAACCGGTCGCAGCAGATGGCCGCCCCTCCCTGAGACTGGCTCTGCCAGAGGTTTCTTCCTGTTAAAAGGGAGTTTTTCCTTCCCACTGTTGCCAAACTGCTTGCTCATAGGGTGTCATATGATTGTTGGGTTTTTCTCTCTATCTATGAAGCGCCTTGAGGCGACTTTTGTTGTGATTTGGCGCTATATAAATAAAATTGAATTGAAATTGAATTGAAGGTCAGTCTCTCTTCCGGTTTCCATCCCCAGAGTAACGGCCAATCGGAGCGGGCCAACCAGGAGCTGGAAGCTGCCCTCCGCTGTGTCGCCTCGCACAACCAATCAACCCGGAGTGAACAGCTTCCGTGGATCGAATATGCCCACAACAGCCACACATCCACCGCCACGGGCAAATCTCCTTTCGAAGCATCCCTGGGTTATCAACCGCCTTTGCTTCCGGCCATCGAGGGTGAGCACTCCGTTCCTTCGGTACAGGCTCACCTCCGCAGGTGCCGTCGTGCCTGGCGTGCGACTCGGGCTGCCCTACTCCGTACTAAGGAGCGGAACAAAGCCCTCGCTGACCGTCGCCGGACACCAGCCCCTGAGTACGCCATCGGACAACAGGTATGGCTGTCTACCCGTTTTGTGCCGCTACGGACTGAGTCTAAAAAGCTGTCTCCTCAGTTTATTGGCCCTTTTCCCATCGATGCCATTGTGAACCCTGTGTCCGTCTGCCTCAAACTGCCGCGCAACATGCACATTCACAACGTCTTTTATGAGTCTCAGGTCAAGCCAGTGCTCTCCAGCCCGTTGTGCCCTCCTTCCAGGCCCCCGCCACCTCCCGGGCTCGTGGATGGTCAGCTGGTTTACAACATCACTCGCATCATGGACTCCCGACGCTGGGGTAGGGGTTTTCAGTACCTGGTTGATTGGGAGGGCTACGGGATAGAGGAACGCTCCTGGGTGCCTCGAGCAGCTGTCCTGAATAGGGAGACTTCCACCGCAGGCATCCAGGTAAGCCTGGTGGGTTGCCGGGAGGCTCCCGTTGAAGGGGGGGGGGTACTGTCATGGTCTCCATGCCTGCCCGGCCGGGCCCACAAAGCTACATGTGGTGTTTGGTTTTCTCTCTCTCTCTCTCTCTCTCTCTCTCTCTCTCTCTCTCTCTCTCTCTCTCTGGGCACACCTGTCAAGAATCAGCGGTCATCACCCAGGAGCACTATTTGAGGCTGGAACACAGATCCTCTCGTCGCTGGATGATTGTACTACAGACGTTAGTGTTTCTCCCAGCTCTTGTGAACCTGTGATTTGTGTGTGACTTCCCTGTCTTCTGCGGCAGACTTTCCTCCCTGTACCTGTGACCCCCCCAGTCGTGTGAACATGTGTAAGTTTGGGCAAGAAGACATGAGCGAGTGTGAGAGAGCTTCCCCGTGATTACCTGGAGTTTGGATTCCCCTTCACTGTATATATCGTGCACTGGTGCTGTGAATAAACTATTTTTGGAGATGCCTACCGCTCTGCGCTTGAGTTCCTACTACCAGATTGTGACAGTTAAATTGTGTATATGTTTTATTTCTGCTGTACTAATTGTAAGGTAACTTTGAGTATCTTCATTCTTCTATCCCTTCTTTGCACATGTCAGAATCAGTCGGCCTCCTGTCTTTCAACTCTGCCACCTGCATCTCAGTCTTTTTGTCAGTGCCATGTCTCCTAACCATACATCATATCAGGTCTCACTACCATCTTGTAAACCTTCTGTTTCACTCTTGCTACTTTCTTATTACAGATCATCCCTGATGTCCATCTCCACTTTGCATTTGCTGTTAGTTTAGTAATGGGGTAGGCTTAATTCTGTGCATGCATATGTTCCACAGTAAACACTTTAGGTCAGAACAAAAACAGACAAAATGGTTTACTTAATCTAAAGCGTTTATTTTTTATTGTAACTCATTTTACATGTTAATAACACCAATATTAATTTCAAACCACTTATTAATCTTGTCACAGAATTAAGAAATTCAAGACAAAAAGCCTTCTCATTAAAACAAAATTACTGATTGATTGATTTACATTATAATCCATTACATTCCTTATGTATGTAAATGTTGACTGCAAAACTTTGTTGCAGAGCTCATTGGTTTTTTTCTAACCTTTTCAGGTTAACAAAACTATTAATTCTAAATTTCTGAATGGATTTTCATGTGATATCCATTCATCAAATTATCCTATTAATTTTTACTATTTAATTTTTTATACTATGTTTTATTATATGTTTATATGTTTTTACAAAAATGCAATTACACATCTTGATTAATATTTAAAGATGATAAACTGGATATTGTCATAACTTTAACACGAAAATTTCAGTTTCTCTCTTGGAAAAAGAAAATTAAAATAAAAAATAAAGAAAATAATGCATAACACAAATTTAAATGAATGAAAATATTCTCATTGGCAGACTACAATTTACATTTGTCATGTATACTGAAATCAAAGAGTTAACAAAAACTTCATAATCTTTTCATTTGGAACTTTTCTGTAACAATCTCAAGCATAAGCATCTTAAAGAAAAAATAGAAAATGAATAGAATATATGTTCAGGAATAATTTTTTCATGGTTATAATTTTTTTCTGTAAAATAACATTTCAGTAAGAGTTACTTTCGAACTTCAACTAAATTAAAAAAAAAAAAAAAACTCAGATCCTGCATTTACTCACAGGAGTTTTTCTTCTATCTAATTTCTACAAATCCTACTATGTATGGAATTAACATAGTGGATTTGAATTATGACTCTGGTTCTTTTGCTCTCTTTCTCTAGTCAGTCTTCTTTATATAATAGTTAACTACCTTTCCTCATTTTTCAGGCAAAGGCAAAATATCAGGCTTTAGTGATTGCTTGACTCATTTCATTCAGACTTTTGATTGCATCAGATTTAGAGACTTTCCCCCAGTCACTGGGAATCTCTCCTTTGCGATGGAATTTTGCTTTATAGTGCTCTTCCAGTTGCTTTTGAAATTTAAACACAAACCATTTCCAGTAAGCCAATTTAGACTCATCAGGCGTGATTCTCCAGGTTTTATACCTTGGACCAGCATCTCTATATTTTTTATAGGGAAAGCTTTTAGCTGACTCATAATTATAAAAACTGATTTCACTTGCAACATTTGTTGTGCAGAAATTAATGGAGAAGTCATTTGTGTCTTTCCACGTCCCCCCAGCAACTGCACGAGGTTGATGGAAAAGGGCACTGTGATCATCAGGACTGTGATCTTCAATGGTGTTGGTACAAACAGCTGCACAGAATGGACACTTTACCCAGCAGCACTTACACAGCTGATCAGTGAGGATTTTATCAGGTTTCAGCCTGGATTCCTTCAGCTTATCCAGTGAGAGGCTGCTCATTTCCTCAGTGATGGATGAAAATCCCTTTTTTATCTCTTCTTTGAGAAATTCAAAATCGTTTATGTCATTGAAGTTTTCAGAACACATGGCATCAAATGTTAGTTCATCCTTTAGCACAATAGAAAATTCCTTCAGCCACATATCTGTGTCACCCTCTTGAGTTTGAACTTTTTGTGTTGCAGTAAATAAAGCCTTACACACACTTGTTTTGATGTCATCAACATTTTTCTGGAGCATGCTCACAGCTTCATCTGTATGACTTGTGAAGATGTACTTCTTAACCTCTGCTTCAATGAAAGCTTCTGTTTGTCTCCTTGGATTTGTGATGTAGGTAATGAACTCATTAAAATCTTCTTTCTCAGCGAGTGACTTTAACACATGTTTGTCCAATTCCAGTCTGTTCCCATTGAATGCAGAGAAATTACACCTCATCTTTCCAGCAAGATCAATGGCAGTCTTATTACAGACAGCCTCAATACTGGAAGCTTTCAGCTTCTCACAGATCAGTTCTCCAAACACAACAGCAGATGAGTTTTCTTTACAAAAACTTCTAAAGACTCTGTAATACTGTGTTTTCTTGCCATCTAAATAAATGATTGCATCATTGATCACTTTGAATTTCTTATGGGACTCTAGAAGCCAACTTTCTGCCCTGTAGAACACATACAGTAAGAGATCAACTGTAAACTCCTTCTTCAAAGTATATTTCCTCTCTGACAGAAATTTCTGCACTTCTTCTGTTACATGATTGGCCCCTTGAATCAAGTAAGTTGATGTGTAGCCTCTTGTGGCTACAGGTTTGCTTTGGATTGCATCAAGTGACTCTTTTTCAGCTTTGTCAATGAGCGATCTGATCTGTTGTTGTTCTTCATACGCAAAAACACCACTTGATTTGTATTTCTGGTAAGCATCAACCACTTGTCTCAGATATTTTTGTCCAGTTGTCATTATATAATCTGAATAATCACCAAGCTCTGATAATTTCATGTATCTGCCACTTGTTTTACATTCATCTATGAGAGCTGGCTCAAAACCAAGTTCTTGAAGGATGGTTAACTGATCTTCTTTCAAGTTGATGTCTTCAACAGGTTTTATATCTGCTGTTAAGTCAGTAACCCAGCCGCTCCAAACAGAGCTGAACTGTCTTTGAAGCTCGTCTTCATCTTTGGCCTTATCCTTCAGCTGCTGAGCGAGCTCTTTGCTCTTCTGTAGCAGTTTGTTCTCAAACTCTGACTTCTTATCATCCAGTTTTCTACAAGCTTTCTTCTGCTGGATAACTTCATCTAGTTTTCTTTTCACTCTTTTCACCTGTTCATCATGAAACTCTTTAATTTTGATTTCAAATCGTCCTCTCCACTGAGTCAACATTTCTTTTTCCTTGTCATCCTCAAAGTATTTTGTCATTGCTTCTGTGATCTCTCGATATGTTTGGCTTGTTTCTTCAATAAGATAACTCAACTGAACCATCTCAAGTTGCCCATTTTCAATTCTGTTATGAAGTTGGTTTTCAATGGTCAACATGTTGCTCCTCAGGGTCCAGGTCCAGTTCCCATACTGGACTTCCAGTTTTCTGTACACTGCAATTTCAAGTGTATTTTTAAAACTGAAAACAAAACTTTCATTCAGCAGTGCAGTCCACAGGTCGTGAATTTTGATTTTGAACTGTGAGAGAGTGATCCCAGCAGACTTTGAAGCTTTAGAGAGGATGGTGTTCTTCACTTCCTGGATGCTCTCACTGTAACCTGGATTTGGAGGAGCCATGGGTGGACTGCCCTCCCACAGCTGGGCACAGTATTTCACATCTTTCTGAACATCAAATTCAATGACATCACTGAAGCACTCTGCATTACAAACTTCCTCTTTGGCTGCTAGTTTGGCCATCTGGTCCAGTTTTTCCTGCAGGCGTCTCTTTCCATCCATGTTTCTCTCTGCTGCCGCAACATCTGTGACATTCTGGTGAACAAACACACAACTGGGAGAAAGTTTAACTTCCTTCATCCTCATGAAAGCCTGAACAACAATCTGCAGGATGTCCTGCATATCAGATGGATTCTCCCCAAAGATGTTGATCAGTGTCAGGTTTCCCAGACCAACAACAAATGTTGCCAGTTCATTGTCATGGTGAAGAGTGTTGTTACCTTCTAACTCAAGAGCACGCAGTCCTTCAGTGTCCACCACTAGAACATAGTCAAACTTCAAGTCTTTCTTCATCTCCTCTGATACTTTGAGCAGCTGCATGAAGGCACCTTTGGTGCACCTGCCAGCACTCACTGCAAACTGCAGCCCAAACATGGTGTTCAGCATTGTTGATTTTCCACTGCTTTGTAGACCCAAAACTGACAACACAAAAACTCTCGGGTCCCCCAGTTTCTTGATGACTTCTTCTAAAAGACTGGAGATCCATGTTAAAGGCACATGACCTGCATCACCATCCATCAGCTCCATCGGGTGTCCTGATATCATCAGCTGTGCAGCCAGCTCAGGGTATTTAGACCAGTCAGTGTGTCTGCTCAGTCTTTGTGTTGTTTCATGGGCTTCATAGATCTGTCCCATTTCTCTGAAGATGTGCTCCAAACCAAAACTTGCAGACTGAAGTTTTTTTGATATGTCATCAAGCTCAGCTTGTTTTCTTAATAACAGATCTGACTTGTCATGTTTGTTCTTCAAAGCCAAGACCTCAGACCACTTTTCATCATAACTTTTGAGAATCAAAGAAAGATCATCTGTGGAGAGGGCATCTGTTAAGATCTGAATCCATTTTAGGAAATACTCTCTGTCTGTTGGTGGCAGTAATGAGAGACTTCCAGTGAACAACTGCATCAGTTTACTGCAGGAAGCAGCACATTGTTCCTGACGTATGTTCATCAGTTCTTGTTGCTTTTGACTTTTCTCCATTTCAATGTCTCCTCTGAGATGAAACAGTTCTTTGTGTATTTTGCTCCACTGATGCCACAGTTTGCCTTGACAAGGGAAAAATTCATCTTTGATCTTTGAGACATCCATGTTATCCTTTTTAAGCAGATCGGTTATTTTCATAGCAGCAGATTTCCCTCTTTGACAGGCTGGGTCAGTTTCATCCACTTTGATTTCAGAGAGCTCAGCCATGGTTTCAAGCTGGAAGGATGGTTTCAAGCTGGAACCATCAAGAGAAGACAAAACTTCTCTAATGATCTTTTTAAGCTGCTCAGATACATCTGGCTGGTTTCTGTCTTTGAGACCTAATATGTATTTTCCATTTTTTGTCTTAATATCACAGCTGTCATCAACAGTGAGACAAATGAGAGGCTTCTGAGATGCAAAGAGAGACGATATAAGTGACCGACTTTCTGTATTTTTTTGCAGAGATGTCACAAGAAAAATATTGATGAAGGATTTTTCAATCAGTATGTCACGCTGTTTTTTAGTCAACAGAGCATCACCATGGAGATTACAAAAGGCAATGCAGTCATTGAAGGTATCATTGGGTTTTCCAGCAGGGCAGTACCAGGCAATCTCTGCCACACCATCCATCAAATGACGAGACTTGGTGCTTCCTGGACAGTTTCTGTTGAAGAAAGCATTGTGACGGTCGTTGATCAAAGTGTTCATCAGCTGAGATTTTGACACTGACAAAGAACCCAGACGGAAAAATGAAACCAAAGATGTTTCAGCTTTGTAGATTGGAATATTTTTCATAGTGACAATGTTTGAATCATCTTTGGTTTGCATCACCTTCCAGCTTTTTGTTATTTGTCTGAATGTCCACAGAGGAAACTCAATTTCCTTTGTGACTGGGTCAGGAACAAGAAAAGGTAAGGCATACTGACATTGAGAAAGCTTTGTAATCATCATCTGTTTAAGAAAACTGTCTGAGCAGTGAAATACTGCCATCTGAATGTCCAGTGGATGAATGGGAGTCTGTTCTTTCTGTTCTCTCTCAACACCGGTGTTCAGTAAAGCCACCAAATTATTAAATTCATTGTCAGTGATGTCAGTCATTTGAACCGGTTTTGGACCTGTCACATCAGCACTGTCTGGTCTTAAAGGAATATATCTGACCCTGTAGTCCAACATCATCAGCCTATGAAGAAAAGTGTGAGCTACATCTTTTTCAGATGTCACATGGTGCTGTTTTACAGTTGGTTGTATTTGAAGAAGTTCTGTTGGTGACAACTTGTCTTGAAGTTTTTCTTTAAGATGAAGTCTGTCAAGCAGTGCCTCAGTTTCTCTTTGACATAGCTTTCCACAGATTTCTTCAGAAATCTTCCCTGACTGTGATAAATAAAACAAATATTCACTGTATGTAAGGACATTATAATATTATATTACACTAATTATAATGTGTGATAAAGCAATCTGTCCTTTAGATCTTTTGAAACAAAATTTGGACTTTCTTACATTCTCGTTGTTTCCGCTCATGTTGCCTTCTGAGGTTACTGCAAGATGAGCAACAATGACAAATCAATGTATGATGGAGCCAACACAGTTCTCTAATATTTATTGTAAATGGGTTACTTTTTATAAATTTAAACATTCCCATTCTAGCTTATTTTTGTTATATTTTTTTAATTAAATTTTAAATCTTTTTTTTTAAATGTTACCATTCTCTTTAGAGTTGAGGTTAATGTTTTCTCCAGCTGTTGGGGTGTCCTCATTCTTTGAAAGTACAACATCAGTGTGTTTCTTCACTAGATCATTCTGGGAAAAAACAAAACAGAGCAAATACTTTAACTTGACATTTGGTTTGTCAAGTTGCATTTTATTAAAGTAGTGCTGTCAGCATTAATCTCGTTAAAATGACGTTCACGCCATAACCGCATTAACGCGGCAAATCTCCGTTAGCGAGTTAACACGTTTGTGGGGCTGTATGGCGTCAATGCGTTAGCACGGTTAGATAGTTAATGCGTTAGTGCCGTGCAGCCCCATGCATGGGGCGATCTGCGTTAACACGCTAACTTTTTGCGGTGTTAGCAGTTAAGTAGAAAATAGAGTTTGAATGATTCCTGTATCCAAAAGTTACAGTGACTTAATTTTTTGGACACATAAAGCAATTGGATTTAAAATTACCCAGCAAATTTATTTTAAATCATGGAGGCCTTAAACCAAGAGGCCGTGGATTTAACCTGTGAATAGGTTTAGGCTAGCAAAATGAACAGCTCCATTTAAATAAAAATGGTATTGAAGTTGAAAGTTTTACAAAATAGTTTAAATGTCATGGCAAAGAACTTACTTTTTGCTCTTTTTTAGCAGTGCTCTCTTTCAGCTCATCTCCTGCAGGATATTTAACAGCAAACAGATTACAAGATCAAACAAAAGACAAAATGTTAGCAAAATTTTGCTAGTCATTTAAAATGTGAAAGGTTTGATAAAATGAATCTTTTCTTATGAAAACAGAAAATGCACATTATATTGTAGTGATCAAGATTTTGCAGAATGGCAACTGAAACAGAAAACAACAAAACAAACAAAGTACCGATCACATTGTTTTGGAGCTGTTAAAACAGTGTGACAACAGTATATCTGTTAATGTAAAAATGAAGTTTCATTAACATATTACCTTGCTTTTTGTAAGTGGATTGTTCTAGAGATTTGACTGATTCTTCTTCTGCTACTGTTGTACTGTCATCAGTCTGTAAGCGATGAACATCACTGCCTTCATCAAGAGGATCCCTCTGCTAGAACATACTTTTGTTTATCAAGTGAGAACTACTAATGTGAAATCAAATAAAGGAAGAAAAGTAAGGAAATGATTATTCATGTAGTTTAAAACACACACTCCCTCACTGACTCAAGCTGTAACTGCAAACAAATTGCAAAAAAAATGTAATCTGCATTTCTGATGGTACAGAAGGTAGTCTAAATATAATCTGAATTAGTCTGCAATGATGAACAACATTCTTAATGAACAATTATCCCCAATATTTATCTGACCTGCTGAAACCGCAATCATCTTCCCGAGCTTTAAGGTCATTAGGTCAGAGACTGCTGGTGGTACCGCGCACTCATTTTAAAACTCGTGGCGATCGGGTCTTTCAGACAGTGGCACCACGGTTGTGGAATTCTCTTCCACTGTGTCTACGCTGTACTGACTCCATTGATTCTTTAAAAAAAAAACAGCTGAAGACATTTTTGTATAGAAAAGCTTTTGATTAATTTGTTCTTACATTGGTTTTTTTTGTTTTACATTGCCCTTTTATTTACTGTTACATTGTTTTATATTTCCATTTCTTATGTTGTAAAGCACTTTGTGATTTTTTTTATCTGTGAAATGTGCTATATAAATAAATCTTACTTACTTACTTAAAATAACTTGGCAAAAGTGTGTTATCTTTATTTTGTTTCATTGGTAACCTAATTTTCAAACCCACATTCTCCCTTTTTCACTACCTAAGGATTTATGGTGTTCTCTAAGCTCAAGCATACATCTGCTCATCATTTCTGACCTTGGGAAAATCTTCTAACATCTTAATTTAATACATTCTTGATGCTTTTATATAAAAAATTTTGTGGTTTTTTTTTTACTATGCAGATGATTGAAGATCAGTGAACTGGCCAAAAATTCTTGCCCTGAACACACATATACATGCATTTCACCACAGGAATGAAATTTAAAATATACAACCGTTACTTTCACAGTACAATAACTTCACCTGTTTTTTTTGCTTCATAAAAATAGCAAGTTGTTAAAAGGCCTTCCTAAGGAGTACAATTTCATGAATTTATAGATTTTTGGAGCAGTTTGTCTTATTCTTTTTTTTTTCTTTCTTTGTTTGCTTAGTTATGTAGAGATTTACTAAATATATTATTGAAAAAGATTTCATGTTTGGGGCGCCAGTTTAGCTCAGTGAGATGAGCAATTGACTATATGCCATAAGGCCAAACAGCAATAGGCTGAGATTCGTGTCCGAACCTCAGCCCTTTACTGCATGTCTTCCCCTTTGTCTCTTTCCCTGCTTTCCTTTCTCTCTACACTGTCTCTTTACAATAAAGGCTGAAAAGACCAAAAAAAAAAAAAAAAAGATTTCATGTTTACCTCTGTTTCAGCTGTACTCTCCTGTGGCTCATCTCCTGCAGGGACATGTAACAAAAACACAGATGTAACAGCTATATTCAGATATAGGAACATACAGAAAAAAATGCCTTGTTAAGTGATATTTAAAGCTTTATATATATGCAGTCGTGGCCAAAAGCTTTGAGAATAATATTGGTTTTCACAAAGTTTGCTGCTTCAGACACATGCCCCATACAATCAGAAAGGGGCTTCATCAGAGAAAATGACTTTACCCCAGTCCTCAGCAGTCCACTCGATGTACTTTTTGCAGAATATCAGTCTGTCCCTGATATTTTTTGGAGGGGAGAAGTGGCTTCTTTGCTGCCGTTCTTGACTCCAAGCCATCCTCCAAAAGTCTTTGCCTTACTGTGTATGCGGATGCATTCACACTTGCCAGCTGCCATTCCTGAGCAAGCTCTGCACTGGTGGCACCGTGATCCCACAGCTGAATCATCTTTAGGAGACGTCTGGCCCTTGCTGGTCTTTCTTGAGCGCCCTGAAGCCTTCTTCACAACAACTGAACCTCTTTCCTTGAAATTCTTGATGATCCAACAAATGGTTGATTTAGCTGCTATCTTAGTAGCAACAACATCCTTGCCTGTGAAGCCCCTTTTATGCAACGCAACAATGGCTGCATGTGTTTTCTTGTAAGTAACCATGGTTAACAGGAACAATGATTTCAAGCATCACCCTCATGTTAACGATTCCAATCTGCTATTCTAACTGAATCAGCATAAAGAAATGATCTCCAGCATTGTGATTGTCAACATTCTCACCTGTGTTAACGAGAACATTATTGAAATGATCTCAGCAGGTCCTTCTATGACATGAAATGCTGAATGATGAATGAGGAAATGGGTTTTTTGTGATTAATTTCATTTTCATCGCAAAGAAAGACTTTGTAATTCATCTGATCATTCTTCATAACATTAGGGAGTATATGCAAATTGCCATCATAAAAACTGAATCAGCAAACTTTCAAACCAATATTTGTGTCATTCTCAAAACTTTTGTCAAAACAACTGTATACTAATTATACAAAAAGGACTTTTTTCAGGGAACACAAAATTAGTTAATTGTTTAAAGCTGTTCTGCAGCAACACGTTCTCACTCCCAAAGCGTAACATTTTACGCTAGGTGACAAATCACAAACATATTACGTTTTCGGCTACCCACCACGTTCCTAAATGACGACCTCGGAAAAATGAGGAAATATGAGAACCGTATGGACTCAATCTACACATGTTCGCTCTTTTTCTTCAAATCGCTTAGAAACACGCTATTTAACATAATTAAAGTCCTTAACCAGGAAAAAGGTTATGGTTAGGGCTAGGGATAAGGTTAAGTTTAGGGCTGGAATACAGGGCTGGAACGTCTATTACCGCGGGAGCGTCATTGCACTGGATTTCGGCCATAACCCGCCGCGTACCATAAGAACGCCGAAGGTCTCTTTTCGCGTTCCTCAGGAACGCCGCGGGACGTGACAAAACGTCAGAATGTTACGCCTCGGGAGTGAGAACGGGCTGTCTGCAGCATTGGAGGTTGATCTAGCCTTGAAAGCTGGTGCTACTAATTCCTACAGGTGTTCCAACTTTTCTGGATTACTTACAACCCCCTCTGTTTGCATAAAATCAGCGTTGGAACACACTGTGGTACCATACTCTCATGAGGATCAGTTGAACAGTATTGTAACGCAGAAAGTTTTGCATTGCTACAAAAATGGAGAGAAAAAGACTTTTAACAATGGAAGACAGACATCATAACATTAAAAAATTAAGGTCTTTCGTACAGTGAAATGGCAAAGTCAAGGTGTCAGTGAGTACAGTTTCATTCACCATCAAAAGGCCCTCAGAAACTGGGGCAAACTGTGACAGGAAGAGGTCTGGCAGACCCAAAGCCACAACTGAATCAGTGGACAAGTTTCTGAGAGTTAACGGCTTGCATGGTAGGCAGCTCACAGGACAACAGCTTCAAGCACAGTTTAATAATGGTCGTAGAAAGAAAGTCTCAGTTTCAACTGTGCAGAGAAGACTTCGAGCTGCAGGTTTGACAGGACAGTTGCAGCAAGAAAGCCATTGCTAAAATGTCAGAATAAGACAAAGAGTGAGAGGCACCCTGAACCAAAATGCCTACCACAGCATTCTGCAGAGCCCCTGCTATACAAGAACTACCTCAGGAAAAAAGAACAAGATGGTAAACTTGAAAACATGGAGTGAAGAGCACAGTCTCCAGTCTTGAACCCCAGCTGGTTTGGGATGAACTGGACAGAAGAGTGAAAGCAAATCAATCTACAAGTGCCACACATTTACAGGAACTTCTGCAGCATATATTTGAAGAACTTTCAGAAGAAGATTTGATTTCTATTGTAGAAAGAATGCCACGGGTGTGTTCAGCTGTTATATCTGCCAAAGGCGGCTACTTAAATGAGTCAAAAGTTTAGAATACATTTTGGTCTATAAGTTGATTGATTGATCTATAAAGTGACATATAGTATATATATATATATATATATATATATATATATATACACACACATTAGTGTCTGCTGTACACTCTGCGTGGGAAGAAAAATTCATTCTACAGCGAAAAATTGAACTTCAAATTTAACTTCAAATCTGTGCAAGCATCTAGCAAGCCGCCATGGGAATGTGAAATTCAAAGCGGTCATGTCCCCTCAGTGAGATGACCGCTGCAGCACCAGGCAAACCTCCACCCGCCCTACTTCTGCTAAACAGGTGAAAATACATTTGAAAGCATCTATTTGAAAGAGTGTAAACACAAAAAATAATTTTATTTTATATGCTGGAATATGCAGAAAATAGGTTTAAATGTTAAACAAATTTCAAGTCAAAGAATGTTGCATATAATTAAATTTTTGCTTGAATCATAAAGTTAAAAGATAAAACTAATAAAACAATTTTAAAAAAGAGACTTTTCCATTTGATTCAATTTTATATGATGGATTATGCATAAAAAATAGAATTGGGCTGAAAGGTCTATTGCTTTATTACGTATTCAGGTTGTGTATCATGTTTTTAAAAAGTAACTAAGTAATTAAGTAGTGAAGTACCTAATTACTTTTGAAAGTACGTAATCAGTAAAGTAACAGGATTATTTTCTTGGAAAAGTAGTTAGTAATTAGTAACTAATTACTTTTTCAAGTAACTTGACCAACACTGACAGTGAGCTGTTTGTGTCTGGAGTGAGAATCTGTGGAATTGCTTGGTTCTCTAGGAAACCCTAATTTGAGGAGAGTGGGACCTGTGAGTACAAGAAAACAATAATTAAAATTAGGGATGGGTACCGGTATCCGGTGCCATGATGGCACTGGTTCTGACATAAACGGTAGTAACCAGACTGAAAAGCAGCGCACATTTCAGTGCTTTATTTCAGTGCTTTTTTTTTCCTGAGCTGTGATACACTTTAGATTCTAGCCAATCATTTTACATTTCCGAGGATAGTAGGCAGGTCCAGGTACGTACGTTCTTTTAGAGCAGAGCTACAGATTAAAAATGCCCAAGACAAAGCGGTCAAAAGTCTGGCTGTACTTCACAGCAAAATATGCAAACTAAGCAGCCTGCAACAAGTGCTTTAAGCGGATACTGTAATACTGTGCAAAGGAGGTAACACCTCAAATCCAATGAAACACCTGGCAACGCATAGCGTTTTTTTTTTAAAGCCGAGAAATGCGCCGTATTTGATAGCTTGCTGCGAGACCTCACACCGTGCACATCTACTGCGGGTGTAGCCGTAGCCCTGCCAGTGTAGCAGAAATGATGACGGATGATGATGGCAGCAGCAGCCGTTCTTCTCTGCGTGAGTAGCTTAATGTTGTTCGTGTGTAATTTACGTTGAGTAGGCTAACCACGTTATTACATTAATGCATGTAAGGTGAATAGCAAACACCATCATAGCTACATGCGGCTGTCTTCTTGTTTGATGGCAGATACTCCCTTCATCCTGGCCAAAAAGGCTAAAATGACTAAAGAAAAAGTGGGAAACAGCTAAACATGAGAGGTTTTTGGACAAAGTTAGTGTTTTTTCCATTGATTAAGCTCTGCTTCCAGCCAAGAGTGATACCATATTTGCCCCATAGCTGCAGAAAAGGCTAACATTGTTATCTTTTTACAAAAAAACAGCTGAACATGAGGTTTTTGGACCAATTTTGTGTTCTCCATTCTTTAAGCACCGGTTTGAGCACCGTTTAAGCACCGGCACCGTTTCAAAAGTACCGGTTTGGCACCGGTATTGGATAAAACCTAAACGATACCCATCCCTAATTAAAATACAATGTGCTTAAATTTGCTTAGATGAGAGGGTCCAGCTGTAGATCAGAGTAATAGGGAAGGGGTTGTGAATGTCTGTGTGTTTTAGTTTGGTTTAGGTATAGGCCTGAGTCTGTGTATGATTGTGTAGAGGGAGAGGAATTTATTGACACTGGGGTCTGCCTGTCATAAAAGTAGACAGGAAGCTACAGTTGGGGGATGTTAGGACTGTATGGAACAGATAGGAAAGAGAGGAGAAGTCTGTTACCCTTGTCCCTGAATGTAATAAAAGCTCATAAATATCACAACTTAGAAGTAGGTTTGCAGGAGACCCTCCACATGCTTAGCTGTAAAAGTAAGACAACAAGACGGGGTCTCAGTGCTTGTAATATGTTTTGTATGTTTTGTAGAGGAATTTGGTGTAGCTTGGGTGAGGGGAGATGGCTTTATGACCGGCAGGAAGTCACATATACAGAGACACACACTCACTCACGTGCACACATATACACACACACACAGGTATGCAGACACGCAGGTACTCACGTGCTCGCACATACATACACAAACACACTGTTTTAGGTTTACAACACACCATGTGGGTTTTACGATGGGGTCGCTTCTATAAAAATGGTTGTAACAAACAAAGAGGTGGAGATTTGCAGAGGGACTGTCGAGCCCTGTATAACTCCCCTTCTGGAAGGTGCATGCGTAACTGAAGATGAAAATAGGTTTTGTGAAATGACTACTGAGTCCAGTGTCGTCTCTGGAGGCCTGAGGCATAAAAAAGAACCGGGGTGAAACTGCTTTATGTAACAGACTATCACAATTGTTGTTCTTTTTGTTGCAATATTATCATAAGTGATAGTTTGATGAAGCCTTGTGAATGTGTCGAGTCTTTCCCACCAACTGCATCGCCAAAACACAAATCACACAAAACACTGTTCAACAGCTCATTTGGAAGTCCCAACAGAAGGTAACTGTCATGTAACTGCTGCTGCCCCTGGTGAGCACTTTACATTCAAGTCTTTCTAGTTTAGGAAGCCTACCTTCATCACATATTAGATTAAATAGTTAGTATTTTAGTATTGAGATTTTAGAGAAGATTTACAATTTTAAACCTGATACTCTACAACAACATTTTTGATTAAAAATGTACCCTTCTTATTGGTTCCAGATGCTGGTAGAGGTTTGAAGTCTGGTTCTCCATCACTTTTCTCTGGATGATCAGGATCTTTATTCCTTGAGCCACTCTAGAAAAAACAAATGATTTATCTAACCTTATTATTTGATTTGTGATTAAGGTTTCACATAATAAATGTATAAGATAAATCTCAAACACTCAAGATCAGCAACCAACAGTAGTGCAATAATTCAGTAAAAAAGGCATAAAAGGCATAAAAAAGAATGAGGGAACTGCAACAATGTAAAATCCATTTTCAAGCATTGATGCATTACCTTAGAACTTCAGAACTATATACTTTGTTATGGAACATGATTTACTGTACAAGAAGAGTAATGGATGAATCCATTGAATTCCAATCTGAAAACTTTATGTAAAATTTGTGCACAGAACTCAACATTCAGTACTAAAAATTGTTCATAAATATTGACAGGAATTTGTGACTGAATGCAAGATTTTCACAATGTTAAGAGACAAATAAATATTAAACACATCAGATGATCCTCTTCTGGCTTAGAGTTGAACGTTTAAGTGTGTTGGAGCTCGGGTGTGAATTTAATCTGAATACAGAGCATTTTTATAAAAGGTTTATAAAAGATATTTACAAAAGTATTAAATCACAGTTAAAGTTACTTACAACGCCATAATTGGTCAGTGTGACCATATCCAATTGCTGTTAAGATTTAACTTATGACCAAAAAAAAAAACAAACCCCACGCGCACCAGACAAGTATACAAAATGTACAGAGACAAAAAAGAAACCTGTTTCAATGTGTTTATCAGTGAAAACACATTTAAAAACACTTCAGGAATGCATCAGAAGAACAGCTGAGGAGATTGTTTTCAAGCTTTTCAAACAAGTATAATTTTATAAAAATAATCAAAGTTTAATAAAACCCACTTGTTGGAGAAAAAAAGCTAATTACATAATTTTAGAAAACACTCTTAGACCAAATAGTACCTACTGTGTTTATTTGCTTCACTTGCCTCTTTTACTGTCCAGGTTGTACCCCACTACTCACCCCCGCAACCCTGATAAGGATACGCCGAAGAGGAGGGATTGATGGATGAATTTGTTTTGGAGGATATACAAAGATGTAACTTTAAAGTAAAGTAAAATTTTATTATTATTATTTATTTATTATTATTTATCCTTTCAAGATAAAAATCACAAAGTGCTTCACAGAATAGCTAAAACATAAAAACAGAAATCAACCAAAAACAAGTTTAAAAAGATGAGTTTTTAGCTGTTTTTTTTTTTTATTATTATTATTATTATAGAAGGCAGATAGTTATGTTGACTCTTTTCTGTTGACTCCTTGCTCTATTTATCCATCCATCCATTTGCTTCCACTTATCCTTTTCAGGGTTGCGGGGGCACTGGAGCCTATCCCAGCTGTCATAGGGAGAGAGGCAGGGCACACCCTGGACGGGTCGCCAGTCTGTCACAGGGCTAACACACAGGGACAGACAACCATTCGCACTCACATTCACTCCTACATTCACACCTATGGGCAATTTAGATTAATCAATTAACCTATCTGCAAAAACTGCAATAGTGTGCGTGTACCTGTTGACATCAACTATGCAAAACTTTATCGGGAACTGTCTTACATGTTACATCAACAAGACTAAGTCTGTTTTGGCATTGTGGGCCACCTTAAAGAAAATGATGTGAGTTTATAGGGTAAACTTAAACGTGTCTGTTCCCCAGACCTTTGACTCTTGTTGTTCATAATGCTGATCAAATCTGCTGTATGACAGAAGTGAAACTGCAAAGATTTCATCTTTACCTCAGTTTCAGCTGTATTCTCCTGTGGCTTATGTCCTGCAGGGAAATGCAATAAAAAGCAGATTATTAGGATCATACAGAAAAGAAATGTTCAGTTTCTTGTTTCATTAAAAAAAAGTCTAGTCTAAACAGATATTTATCATGTCCAGTAAAAATAAAAAAGAATGAGAATTGTGTTCGTATTCACACAGACGTCTCACCTTCTTTGGTTTCTGTTGGAGCAATCTGAAGTGTTGGACTTGTATTAGTCTCGGTATCAGCTTCTTCTTTGACCATGTTACTGCTGCTGTCACTGGGGACCTCTTTGCTTTCAACAGTCTGTCCAGTTGACGAGTCAGAGCCTACATTTATCACACATTACATTGAATAGCTAGTGTTTAATCTGTTCAAAATCTTTTACAAAAGGTTAAATTATGACTGAAAAATTTTTACAGTAAAAATCTGCTTCTGTGAAACTTTTCATTAAAAATGTACCCTTCCCACTGCTTGGAGATGGTTCCAAAAAACTGGTTCCAGGATGTCCTTCTGCTGTTGTGATGTCTTTTGATTTTTCAGCATCAACAGTTTTTTTCACTGGAGAAATCTGAGAACGTAAATACCTTTATATAACATTTGGTATGTCAGATTAGGGCTCTATAGATATTAATACTTAAAGGAGTGTTTATGTTGATTAGTAGAGGATGTTTATACTGGTAATTGCTTTGTTTTAGCCTCCAGGCTCTCCATAATATTCTACACAGTTAAACTGAGAATGATAATCATGAGGATGCTCACCATTTTTATCCAAGTAGCGTACAACAGATTCCAGAGGTATAGAAGAAAAATTCCCTTGGACAAATAGAAGAGAAATTTGATCATTCATAACATATGTGACGTAATGATTACTAAAGGTAGTACGAATGATCAGCAGAAAATAAAGGGTTGTACACTGCACACGGCTGGTCACTAGTCAACATTACAGTCACTATGTAATAATCCTTTAATGTCTATAAAAGCTTGTCATATGTCACTGGTAGTCTTGCCTTGTAAATTAGGTTAAGAAAAATTTAACTCAGGACACACCCACTTTGCAATAGCAGCGATTATTTTGCCCATTGATGCTTGAAATTGCTTACTGTCATTGACTTTCTATGGTCCCACATTGCTGCAAATTGTTTACTGTGTGGATGCACCGTTAAGTGTAGACTGTGGTGATAGTATACAATACCTAGCATTGTGTTAGTATATTTTTATTTATTTATATTAATTATAAAGTATTGTTGTACTATTGACAATTTTAGGGTTTACTTTATAGGACCCTAAAACTGATAGCTTCATACATGTTCATATGCACGAAGGATATATTTGTAAAATAAGGATTCAGTGTATTATTTCCCCAATAACCAAAACTTAAGAATACAGCAATTTCTATGTGGAATTATTTGTTCTACAAAACTTCTGCCACTAGGCTGTGATGCTGAGCAAGTGGGGAACTTATTTCAGCAGAAAGAACAGAAATGTTTGTCCATTGCATTTGTATTTATTAGAAGAAAAAAATAACACGTGGGATGAATTTAAGCCACCAAGTGCTTTATTCTCGTATGGACATGAACATTTGTTTTTGCAAACTTTATATTATCCCACTTTAGAATCTAAGCAGAGGATTGGAAATCAGCTTGTTTTGTAACTTGATTCTAGAAGGTCATCTCCTCAGAAAGCAAACAGACGTATATGTTTATATAGTGGTTAAAAGTAAACAAATGTAATTAGTGTTAAGGTATTATCATTAAAATTTGTTATAATAATGGTTCTGGAAGAACCTGATATTCAATGATTTTATTGTAGTAATTATTTTATTGTTCAGTTCAGCTCATTTTTATTTCCAACATGTACATTCACAATTATTAAAAAATATCATTCCATTCTTTTGTTTGAAAAGGAGTATGCAGAAGTATACACTTATTTGACCCCCTCAAGTTTTACTCTCATTCATTTAATTTTCTTTTAGTCTTAAATTAAACAAACATCATATGAAGCAAAAAACAAACAAACAAACTAAAAAAAACAAGTATTTATTGTAGAATTGTAGTAGTGGTTTGTTTTTCATTTACTTTCATTTGTTAAATTTTGGTGTTTGTTTGCTTTTTTATGCACATATTGAATCAATTTATGACAACAACTAATAAGGATGTGAATTTTTTACCACTGATTCAGCTACAATCCTCTTCAATTCCCGTCCTGTGGGGTAAAGTTAAAGTCAGCAACAGTATTTTATCACAGTGCGTTACACAGTGTTTCTCCTCTTACTGGTCACTGGCTCGATTTCAGATTCTCCTCCCCCTGATGTGCTTGGTTCACTTTTCACTGGTTGGTCAGCTTGTCCATGTCCTAGTTCACTCTGAAAAAAATAAATAAAAATTTATTTATATGACCACTTTAACCTGTTTAAGTCTTCAGCTGCAATAATGTCATATTTGTATTCAAGTAAAAATACATTACATCAGAACCTCAGAACAATATTTCCCTACAGTTCATACTTTAATATGCAAGAAAATTAAGAGAAACTAACTATTTTTGGTTAGTTTCTCTTAATTAACTCTAATTAACTGATTAATTCACTGCAATAATTACATTTTTTTATTATTCAATCTTTTTAAAAAATCTTCAAATATTAATAAAATTGTAGTTAAACAATTAACATCATTAAGTGATATGGGCAGGGTGGGTTATTTTTTTGCCTTTTTCTTTTTAATCTTTTTAAGTTGTCTCCACCTTTGAGTATTGTTATCTAATCTGTCCTTCTCACACCATCTCCAAATGTGCAATGGCAATCAATCCAACGTTTCTATCACCTCAACAAACATCAGCAAACACACAAACTATATCTTGCAGTTTGTGACACAGAGTGTTGCTAGCTAAAGGCAGCTGCTGTATTTCACAAGGAGACAAAAAAAGCTAAAATCACTCATTGTTAGATAAAGATGTAGCAAGACAGAGAGGAGACGAACAGAGAGGTTAGATTTAAAGGTAAGGACCTCTCAGTGATGCTTATATACTGCAAATTTAAAGCTTACATGCAATTTAATTTTAATCACAGTTTTGAGATTCCTGCAAAACAAACTAAGCTATACTAGCTGGTTCTTACTCAAATGTTGTGTGAAAATACTCAGTAATTTCTATGGGAAAAAGAGGTTAGCTTGTGGTACTCAAGTGAATTTAATATAAAGCATTGGGTTGGACTGGTGCGCAGTGGCTGTGGTGCTTATGGTCAGTGTTGGTTTACATAAACTTTACATTTAAGATGATGATGGTTAGATGAATTCACTGAATTCCACCTTTATACCACCTGTATACTTTCTAGTGTAAAGACACTATAAGTAGTGTCAGTGTAGGGAATGGACAACAGCCAAAAAATACAGGTGTCCTACATAACAGATGCAAACTGTACATTCATTAGAATTCAAATATTTGTACTGTCATATATTAATATTTCGTATTATTATATTAATATAGAACAAAGTTCAGTTACCTTTGCACAAAAATGGTTAGTAAAATTGTCCTTAAAGGTGCTACTTTTTACTTTCTTACTTTTCTAACTGAAAAAAGAGGGTTTTTGTTTGTTCTTTATATTGCTTTCACCAGTGACTTAAAACAAAGACCCAGCTACATTTTATGACCAGTTCAAATGTCACATGCTTAAAAGGGGTTTTTTGTTTGTTTGTTTGTTTTTAGAAAACAAAAGCACAATGGAGATAAAATCAAATCAACAACATGCAATGGTGGATTGTAAGGTTTTCTATATAATTTTGGCATTTTTAATTTTTTGTATTTTTCAAACATGCTGGCGAGAAAAGAGAGCCTGCCTAGAAAAAAACAAAAGAAAACAGTGGACAGTGTAAACAACAAGTGTTATTTACATGTAATTTAATAAATGTATAAATGAGAAATTTCACAGTTGTATGATGACTGATTATAATTTGAAAGTTTTACCGTGGTTGTAGTTTGACTTTCATCCAACGCATCTACTAGAGAAAAACAGTTTGCACAGCATCAAGTTTTGATTTACTAGTCATAATGGACATTTCAATTGGTCACTTCAGCTGACCTTTGTCATTTTTCAAAGATTTGATTTCAGGCTCTCCTCCTCCTTCTGCTGCTGTTGTGTTGTGTTGGTCTTCCATATCATCAGCTTCTCATTTTATAGGCGGTCTGTGTAAAAAATGCATTTAGTCTATCAAAGATTAAAATAAGAGCAAATTTTTATGAGCATCAGAAAGTAAAATATTTAATATTTTTTTAAATATATTTTTATTGAATGAATTAAAAGAAATCCTGTCTAAAATAGCTGATACTGTAGGGTGTATCAAACTACATCTATTTAGATGTAGATTTAGATTCTATTAAGACAAAAATGATATTTCTATGTAATAAATATATTATTTTCAAATAAAACAATGCCAATTTAGAGTGGAAGGTACTGGGAGTGGTAACTTTACTAACAAGCAAACTGGTTTAAGGGGGTGGGAGGAGACTGGAATGCTTTCTTGCTGTCATTCAGATAAAATGACACTGGTGACTCCTATAGAAAGACACACTGAATACCAAACTATCAGATTTTACTGTGGTCACTACAAGGCCTGCAGTGCTCGCACTGTGAAATCTAAAAACAAACATCAAATTAAAACATACAAAAATTAAGGCAATATTTCTCCTTAAATCTCAAATAGAATTCTTCTGCTGCTTTCAATCCATCCTTTGATGTACTGCCATCTTGTGTTTTGCAGTTGGCATTGTCTCTGGAAGCTAGTGCTATGCCATTTTCATGGGTTTGCCCATGTCTCATTAACAAAGAAATTAATGCTGATGAAGCTGAGAGGTAAGTTGTTTTTGTTTTGTTTTTTTGTTTGGTTGTTTGCAAAGGTGCATTTTGGGTAAAACTCTAATCTCTGATGGCAGACTGACAGGAGATCGTTTTGCATTAGTAAGTAAATGAAAAAAATTAGATCATGATTTATTGCCTCAGCAGATAAGTTGTCGCATTTTGGCCAACATGTGCAATCTAGAGGAGTTATAGTGTATAGTAAGGAAACTTTTAACAACTTCTTTAACTTCACGCTGTATTCCAATTCTCAGACACTGATCAAGTTCTGCCATAGTGTGGGGCTTAATAAAACCGTTTCAAAACACCAAGATGCAGAGGACAGAAACACTTAACTCAAAACAGGACTTTTAAAACCAATTTTGACATAGTTTATGTTCTTCTGTGTTAAGCACATTGACTTTCAGTGTAATGAAGTGCTCTATATAAATAAAATTGCCACTGACAATACAGTTCCTACATCCATCTTTTATACTGTTTATGTTTTAGACATAGTTTCATTTTCACAATCATTACTAAAGCAATGTGAAGGGCAGCGTAACAGGTCTGTAGTGCTCATTGAGCATGAGGATTATGAAGTTTCTTTGAAAATTGCTGAGGTACTGGATAGAGCACTGGAACATGTTGCTGCTAAGAAATGAGGGAGTGGCTTGAATGAGGATATGTTGCAATAATGCTGCTGATGGTTTCGGAGGTGATTAAGAGGAGTTACACTTGTGGAGATGCATGAAAGTCAAAAAACAAATTATTCAAGGCAAGAAAGACTGAAAGAATGTACTTGAACAGTATTTTTAAAAATGTACTTTTGTTTTTAAAGGTATTCCAGAAACCCCTGATGGGATCCTGATACGGAGAGGGCATGGAGTGTATGGTAAGAATTGTTGCATGCTGAAATGCTGAAAGTGGGAGAAGAGTTCATTTAACAAGCCCTGCAGATTTCTCCCATGGGCTTTAATGGAAGAAAAAAAAACTGTCTGTGAGCATCTCTTCGTGGATGTTTAGGATGGATCAGACCCTGCTCACTATAGACAAAATGGGAGCGTGAGTACTCTCAGGAGGAAGTGTACACGTCTAGGTGGACTGGAGTATGTTGGAGTGGAAGATTGGCTTTGGCACAAAAAGCTGGGAAAATATGTTGGAAAAGATATTGTTATTTTGTTTGAAGATAAGTGAATATCAGAGTGGCAAGGAGGCTTTGGACAATCTAAAATATGAATGCAGGTCACAACATGTTCTAGCATGATGGAGTACCTAGAGCAAGATTGTAGATCTAAAGGGTTACAGTAAATTTATAGTGATCATGTTCAGTCTTATTACCTTTTACCTTATCAAATTAGATCACTTAAGTTGTTAGGTTTAAATATCTGTGGAATTTCTAAGAAACTGTACTGTGGCATTTTGCAAGATTGTTGAAGTGAAACTAAAACTGACATTTTTTATTGTGATATACTTTGTGCACATAGAAAGGATATGAGTGTGCCCTTTGGGGAACACATGGGTTACCATTTAAAAAAGGTTAAAAAGAAAAGGGATAATTTTGCAAAGCTATTCTATTGATTTGTGTTGAGCTAATAGGTTTGAAGTTTATGCTAGGTGCTGTCTATGTTCCTGATGAAGGATCAGTCTACTATGATAACTGCATTTTTGAAGACATTATACAAGAGTATGTAAATATTCAGGCTAAATTGCCCATTTGCCTTATTGGTTACTTTAATGCAAAGACAGGCTTAATTGAAGATTTTTTTTAGATTTGGATACTACTATAATTAATTATTCAGTATTAATTATATAAAGTATATAAATAATGCTTAATGGTAAGGTTTGGGAAAAGATCTAGGTATTGGAAAGAAAACATGAAATCATAGCAGTACTATTAATTGTGTCATCCTCATTTCTGCCTTATGTGGTAGATTTGAACTTGATATTTTAGATGAATTGTTATCTTATAAGCATTGTCCTATCTCTCTTGAGCTTAAGAATGAAGTACCAAGTAGAGAAAAATATATGTAAATATTAATGAGGGCCAGAATAGACTGAGTTTCTGGTTGCTGGAGAAAGGAAGAGATTTTGTTGATAGTCTAGATTAGAAGTTAATTAGGAATGCATTAAATGAGTTAGATGCAACTGTGGATATATATGTTGACCAAGAAAATCTGCAGCTGTTAGATGTGGTATGGTGAAATCTGTAAATATTATGAAGAGAAGACAAAGTAAAACCTGGTTTAACGATGAGTGTAAGAAAGAAAGAATTAAATTAAGGCAAAAGCTATCTTTAAAAATGCCCAATAAGAGGTTATTGTAAGAAATCTAATTAATTCAAGATCCTGCTATAAGAAAGATATTAGAAAGTGCAAACTTCAGCATAGTAAAGAAGTTAATATGTGGTTAACAATAATAAAAAGTAAGGATGTTAAAGGGCATTGGAGGAAGAAAAAACCCATTACAAGAGATACCTGTAATGAAATAAAAGTGGAGTTCTATGAAAATAAAAACATCTAAATGAGTGTGATACTAATTTG